CCATTGTTTTGGAAAGTGATTTGACGCCCGAATTGAGAAATGTTTTGAAACTTATTCACACAGCAAATAAACAGAGCCTCCATTATGTGACCTATTACACACAGTTTATTTTTCAATTTTCACTTCACTGTACTGCACTCAGGTTTTAACTTTTGTATAATACATGTATATACATAAACGTTTGTACTATTTTACCTTCTATGCAACAGTTAAGAATATTTTCAAACTATATTCCAGAATTATAATGATTCTCTGTGCGAATGTAAACATTTATTGAATTTTTATATTCAAAAGTCTTATGTCCATTATTTTCCCTTTTTTGTAAATAATCTTGAACAAATTTTATTTGTTGACTGTCACCTCCTAAAACTATTTATTTTTAATTCATGCATATTGAATAAAAGTATGCAGTGGGAATGCAGTAAGGGCATCAATATTGACACATTTTGTAGTCTTTCATTTTAATTATGTATGATGTCTTATTACAAATTTTATCTTGGGTATTTTGGTTTTATAATCTTTTATAAAATAAAGTCCAAATTATTGTTAAATTATACATGACGTGATTAGGACTTTCCAATTTGTGGTTGCCTTAACTCTTTAAATGCACAAAAACGTAGCTGCATAATCTTTTCCTTTTGCTTGAAAGTCAAGAAGAATTTATGTTCATTGGGCCAAAGAAATTATATAAAAATACACAAGTTTTCAAAATGATCACTAAAATGTTGATGTGAAAAAATATGTTTCTCAAAGGATTAGAGTGTGTGTCTTTTTAACAGTTTCGAGAAATCCAGATTCTTTGGTTTTGTATAAATATAAACAAGTACACTTTTTTTAGTTTGAAATCTAAATTAAAATCATTAAATTACTTTTACAAAAGGAAATCATGCAGAGTTCATTTATTCAGCATGTATATTTGTAAATAAAGACTTTACAACTTTTGATGAAGAAATATTATTTGCCATGTAAAATGTTTTGGTGCGATGATGGTTGCAGTATATTTATAAATGTGTTATTGTAGTGGATGCAATTCACATTTTAAAAGGACAAAATAAAGTAATTTTTCAACAAACTTTATTGTTTTTGTGAGAACGATACTGGCAATTGTATGGAAAAGTTTTATTGCATTGCTTTTGATTGG